CCCTGGAGCCCTGCTGTCCCCAAGGATGGGGACTCCCCACCTCCTGGAGACCCAGCCCAGGGCTGCAGTGTCCCCGGGTCCCTCAACATCCCAAACTGGGATTTGTGCCATTGTTCCACCATCCAGCACCACCTCCCAGGGCATGACCCGGCCCTTGCAGCTGCTCTGTGGGGCCCGACTCTGCCATGTCCCCTCCTTGGCCGTGCTCCCCAGGTGCTGGGGACTGTCCCTGGGGCCCTCTCTGGTTTCTCCCTGTCCCTTTCCATGGGGAAGCCCAGATCTGGATGCTGCATTGCCGGTGCATTCCCCACAGTGCCTCCCCAGCACATGGTCCCTGCTCCAGCCACAGGGACACTGGGGATGTCCCCAAGCCCCAAGGAGGTGGGGGTTCTCCCCGCCAAGCCAGCCTGCTGGAGCTCCTAGGTTATAAATACCTCCCTGCACACTCAGCCTGGCATATTTTTAGCTCAGGGCCGGGTGGCGGAGGCTTTCCCACAGCTATTTCAGCGCACGGCTCCTCTCCAAGGGGCGCAGAGCAGTGGGGCCAGGCAGGTCCAGCACCCCATGGACAAGCCCACTGGTGGCCCTGGCCATGTGCTGGGCTTGCCATGGCCCTTCCCATGAGCCCAGCCCAGCCAAGCCGGGCCAGCGCCACCAGCCCTGGCCAGGCTGTCCCCCAGGGATGGCTTCACCCCATGGGGGGACAGCACAGAGAGGAACTGAGCTGCAGCCTGTGCTTTTGGACACCCACGGCTGCCGCGGTGCCCACCGCCGGGTGCAGGCCGATGTACACGCATGTGCGCAGCTCCCCACGCCCAGCATGCGAGAGAGGCTCCACAGCCGCATTCCTCACTGACCCGGACTGGTTCGACGACAGCCCAGCCCTGGGCTGACCTGGATCCATTTAAATCAGCTGTGACTCACCCAGGGCTCGCTCCCAGCCTCTCCGCACGCCTTGCCGGCCCCACGGCCCTTCTCCCATGGGCACAGCCAGGTGCTGGGACCTGCTGGCGCTGCCTCCTCACCCCCTCCATCGCGCTGCCCAGGGACTTTGTACCACTGACATGAGCTGGGAACAGAGTCGCTCCGCGCACCATGCCGGGGAAACAGCAGTTTCAGATCAGGCTCCAGCTTTGCGCGCTGTTGCTTTATGGTGCTACAGAAGATAAAGTCTCGGTGCTGCTAAGGGGATGGGCTCGTCTCCCTGGTGAAGAGGAGACATACCCAGGGTGTTTGTCACTGGGAAGCTTTCATCCTTGCTGGGATGCTGCTATCACAGTGATTTCACGCTCCTGTGCAAGGAAGCTGCTCTCCAGGAACGTGCCACTATGGCCAGGGCGAGCCCCTGGGCTGGCG